GCCCACCCCGGCCCCATGTTCATAGTGTACATATTACAGTACGTGTATTTTTAAAGTGATCATATTTATGTTAATAGAACCAGATGAAGTCTATATATAGAGATCTATATCTATTCTGAGAGAGGCAGGGCTCTGCTAGCACTGGGCCGCAGGGATGGAGAGCCGAGACAGGCTGCTCCTGCACAAAACGGGCGCCCATCCAGTGCACCGAGTGCTCTGGAGCAGTGGTGAAGGCTACAGCCTTCCCCGGCCACTGGCAGCCCCTGGGAAAGGGCCAGGTCACAGGTTCATTCTCTTCTCAATTTAGCTTCTTAAGAGTTTTTCAGGGAAAAGAAGTCACAGACTTTTCTGAACTTGTTTCACAGCAGATTTGAGCTTCCACTCAAAGTGCAGCCTGCTAAGAGTTGTTCTCTCCGGGCAGCACTGGCTGCTTTGCACCAGCCTGGCCCGAAGCCGCAGCACGTTGTCCCCCAGCTTGAGCTGAGCCCCTGTGCTGGAGCACTTGCCTCCTCTGCCCCCAAACCACTCCCCAGCACCCTCCCACACCCCAGCAAACTCCATCCACACTGGATGACTTCAGTCCCTGCTCCCTCTGCAGAGCTCCTCCACTCCAGGCCAAAGCTATTTGGGGCTCCTTGGGTAAAAAGCAGTGGGGTTTATATGGTTGTTTCCCCGCCCCCTCCCCTTTAAGATACCACTTGGACACACTTCCAGCCCCTGGTGCACATCTGTGCCTGCTCATACCTTTGCTCCTCCTCATTTCCATCACTCCCAAAGTGCCTCCCTTCTCTCCAGCTGCAGCCACAGCCAGGCTTTCTGCCGTGGTAGCTCAGTTATCTGCACCCGCGTGTGTGTTTGTGCTGCAGACTCTGGTGTGGAAGTTGGTCCCAAGGGCACGGGCAGCTCAGTGCTTGCAGGAGGTGACCGTCAGGGTGAGCTGAGTCTGGGTTTAGTGCAGGGGCTTCAAGCTGATGAAGGATGCGGTTGCAGAGGGCAGCATGCTCTGGTGCTGCCTCTGCTTCAGCTGCTCAGGAGCTGTTGGAAGAGTAGGCAGGTGTCTCCAAGGGAAGAGTTCCTTTAGCTTTGGAAAGGGCAGCCCCAGGAGAACCAGGATTTGCCAGTGTCGAGCTGCTTTGCCCCTGGAGCTGGTCCTACACCACCACAGGCACGCTCATGTGCTGTTTCCAGGCTACCAAAATGATTTGAGGCACTTTTGCAGCAACGGGGGAGGCATGCACAGCAACCTGCCCACTCATCTCACGTGCTAGCACCATGCTTGTTGGGCCTAGAAGCCTTGTCAGCTGCTCTGCCTCTTCAAAGATGCCACCCGTTCCCTGCAGTCACCCTGTAATTACAGCTTGGTTATTACCCTGCACGGCGCATGGAGCCGGTCAGCACCGAGCGCCAAGGCAGGTTACACAGAGACAGCATCCACCCTCGGCAGCGTCAGGGCAAAGAGCTCTTCCTTCGGCCGCAGGGACAGGGTAGCAGGGAATGACACTGTCTGCAGAGCAGCGGTGAGACGACTGGCCAGGGCGTTCTCTGCTGAGAGGTTTGCTTCATCACCTCCACAGCATCTCCAGCAGATCCCATTCTCGGCATCACCAGTGGATTCCATTCCCCCCCCCTCTGCACCCCAGGGTAGAGCCACAGTCCCAGCTCCCCCCAGGGAGCAGGAGGGTGAGCCCTTTCCATCCCTCCTCTGACAAACAGCATTGCCCTTCCTCATCCTCCAGCAACAGCAGGGGCACAGCTCTGGACAGAGCCAGGGCTGCCTCAACACCCCTGCCAGGCACGATTTGGCTGTGGCAAGAAAGGTGCTGGTTTCCGCAGCGAGTCCTCGCTCGCCGTTGGCTGGAGAGGGCCAGTTTTAGCAGACAGCACTGCATGTTAGTTTACAAACCCAGCCCTGCACGTTCGGCCTCTGTGAGTGTTCAGTTTCCCCGTGGAGCACCCTGCTGCTGTTCCACCTTGGTGAAGACAGTGTCCTCCTCTGGTAGACATGCAAGTCCCTCCTTGGCACATGCGCAGACACGTTTTGGTTTTTGTTCCAGGCAGGAAGGTCTTGACCCCCAAGTTGGTTTCACAGGCAGGCTGCTGCCGGGAGCAGCGCTGAGCAGACGTGAGCCGGTGGGACGGCGGCGCGGCCGCAGCAGGCGGGGAGCTCACATACCCACAGCCGCGGTTGGCCAGCGCGCAGCAGCGGGCCGGCGATGGCGTGTGCTCTGGTTCCTGCTGCGGGAGCAGAGCTGTCCCGTCCCAGGCACAGGCCCTGCGTGTGGCCGCGGCTCACGTCGCTGCAGGCAACGAGCCACAGAACAGCACCGCCGGGAGGCGCGGGCAGCGTCCAGCCTGGGTCAGTGCTGGTCCGTGGCTGGGCGAGAGGAAGAACAAGATACTGCACAAGGGTAACGAGTTGCACTAGAAGAGTCAAGACCCTCCTCTGTGTAGCAGGACTAAAAACCAGCAGAAAGACCAGATGGTCTGACAGTTGCTGGTTACACCACTTTCTGTGCTACATGTGCAATATATTTGTTATGAATGTTATCACAAAGTCAGTTCATTCAATAATCTTTTAATCACTGTAGCTAGATGTTCTGCGTCCATTCAAGTGACTTTTATTCGAGTGCAATATTTCAATAATGTAGTGACCTAGTATGCTTTGTGTTTTAGAGAATCTGTGTGCAGAGAAATGCAATTAAGTTTAAAACCTTGTAAATAAAACAGGTTGCAAACAAAAAAAAATTTTAAAAAAAGTATTAGGCTTGCATTTAATTTCTGAGTGTTTGGGTATCGTGCATTAGGCTGCCTCAGTACAGCCCCCGTGTTCTCTGTGCAGGTATTAATGGAGGAGTGGCTCCTCGGCTGTTGAATGCTCCCTGTTAATGCTTTACTGCTTTAACTGTATTCATTTTTCTAGACTCCTGTCTGCACAAAATGCAATAAATGATTTTATTACACCCTTCACTACTGGCACAGGGAGTTTTCACTTGCTTCCAGGGTCTCCACAGCTCTTTAGCACTTGGCTGCTGTCACTTCCATTAGGAGCAAGCCTCAAGAGGGAACAGCCAATTGCAGAGGAAGCAAAACATCAGGAGAGGAGCAGCCTCTCCCACATGCCACGGTTCCCATTTTAAGTTCATGCAAATTTCTGGTTACCCCAGCAAAGATGCTTTGCCTGTCTGTGGAGTTGTAGGGTGGAAAGGGATCAACAAAAAGAGACTGGAGGAGAAAAGATGGAAGACAGACGTACTTCCATCCCATTTCGGGTTGTGCAGTGACAGCAGCACTGTTGCTGGTTACAAGTCAAGGAAGGCTTGAACTCAAGGGACTGGGAGCCCTGACTTCAGGCAGCAGTTGTACAATCAACAGCAACTGTGGCACTGACACCAGACCAGCTTGCTGCTGGCCCGAGCGCACACCCTCCCCTTCCCTCCTCTCCCCTCCCACCACCAGCAGCCCCAGGCTCCAGGCCGACCCTGCCACACGCTGCTCCAGCGCGCAGGTCCCTCGCCAGGCACGTGGGCTGCCCAGCCCGAGATCATCCGAGTCCATGGCAGTATCTGTGAGGTACTTCAAAACCAAAGCCTTATAGACTGAGACAGACTCCAATATTCTCACAGCGGGTCACGGGAAGGTTTGTATGCTTTCCACAGTGCTGCGCAGCGTCTGACACAGCTCCTCTAGAAGCGAGTAATGGCAAAGGCAGTGGAATAGTGTATTCCAGTAGTACTCAAGCTGTCAAGTGTCAAACACACAACAAAACATTTTTCCTGCTTTTTTATTAAAAAGTAATGTCCTCTTGTTAACAGCACAGAGAGAAAAAAAATGCTACAACACAAACCACCTGGGACAAAGAAAATCCTCTGCTCCAACAACACTGCTTTCTTAGTTTCTTTTGGTTCTCTGCAGGAAGCCTACAGACTCTAAGAAGGCCGTGATGGGGAGGACCACAGAGTTAAGAGATGTTTTGTGTTCTGGTATCAAAGTATGTTACTGGTTAAAAACACGGTGAAGAATCACTGCCCAATTTTCCACTCAACTTTTTCAACAAAGTGTTGAAAAAATGTACAAAATGATGGTATTGCATCTTGGCACTGCCTCTCCACCTGAAATGGACAAAATACCAATGAACCACTGTTCACTGATGAAGTTTCAGAGGGAAGACACTCACCACCTTCTAACCAGCTGCAGCTGAGCTGTTGGGCTACAGTAACCAACTGTCCCAAAGCAAGATTATAAGAAAAGTAAATGTATCTGCCAAATTTACCAGACTGGTCTTAACACTGACTACTTGGTGCAGGAAAATTGACAGCCCATTTGAAATCCGTGCCTTGGCTGGAAGCTCCCATGTTTCAGGTCTGGCACAGTACTCAGACCAAAGCTACCGTGAGCTGGGCGAGGCCAGGAGTGTTTCTCTGCCTCACTCAGCCAGGACACGACAGTCCAGCTACGGAAGGACCAAACGGCTGGGTCCTGGGTTACTGAGCAGTGGTCAGACATGTCAGCTGCTAGAGCAACCAATGCACTTTCCAAATGGCTTATATACCATTAAAAAAAAAGAAATTAAAAAGTCCAAAGAAAAACAGTGCCCGTTCCAGAAAGGTGGGACTCCCAGAAATCCCAGTCAGGGCACTGCTCTGTTCAGTCCCCTGTTTATTTCCTCACCACTGACCCAAAACTACACTAAGACCATTCACCAAGACCAGGCTGCAGCACACTGTGAAGATGCACCAGCCACTGGGAGTGAGGAAAACGCAGAGGGACCGTCACTGCAGCAGCTTCCGGGCCCGGACAAAACAACCGATTATCCAAAGCAGCTCATAGCACATCCTGCCACTGAGAAAACAGAGCGTACTTCTCCAAACACTGCTAACCAGACCAAGGTGAGAAGGGCAGTGCTAGCATCCGTCATCAGCGATGCCACTGAGGGTACACTCTCACCAACGTGGAGAGGACATGCACGTCCAGGAGCATTTGTCCTGTGTCAGGGATAGGAGACTCTTTAAACAGCTATAAGTATGGAATGGCAACGGGCAGGGGAAAGGGCCTGACGGCTTTAATAGTGTCGCTGGAAGGAACCCAGAGGTTGCTGGGCTGAGGACCCTGCTCGCCCCTGGGCCATGGTTTGGCTCACTAGGTGGGAGAGTGCAGGACCACTCTGGATAAGGGTGTCCAAGGCTTTCTGTACACTGGGGTTGTCAAAGTTGATGCCAGAAGATATTGGCCTTTGAATAGGTATATTGCCAGGTGCAGGGAGGCGATTTTGGTGCTGACCATAGAGTGGCTGAGCTTGTGGAGGTGCTCCGGGTCTTGGACCTGCATTTCTTGAAGGGCCTTGGAGAGCAGGAAGCTGCGTGCTTGGAGTCTGCAATCTCTGCTGAGGCTGGTTTAAATTTCCAGCGCTCATCTGCGCTGACCGGGCCTGATCGCTGCCCATGTTAGCAAAGTTCTGGTTGGGAGTGCTGCCCGAAGTGCCCGCGGAGGCTGCAGAGCTGCTCTTCGCTGCAGCTGCTGCCCCGCTGTTGAAGAGACTCAGGATTTTTGCTTGAAGCTCCTGCTGAGGATTAGAAGAGGACACTGGAACAGAAGGAGCAGAGGCCAGAGGCTGTGAACCCTGATGAGCCTGAGAGCTTGGAAGGCTGGACTGACTACCCAGAGATGATCCTGAAGGTACCTCCAAAGACTGTCTCGACATGGACGCTGGGAAAGAAAGGAAAGAGGGTTAAAGCTCTGCAAATGCCCTTGAAACAGATACCCAAGACACAAACATCAGTGAATATCCACCCTCTGAAGAGGAGAGCTGCACAGCTCTGGGGAACCCAAACCACTCAGCAGAACTGTTGCCCTTCATGTAGCAGCCAAACCAGTTAAGACAGTCCTGTGGTTTCCCTGAGAGAATCCAGTACAAAAGTTCTTTCACGTGAAAGATCTGTATCACCTCAGGACTCCCAAGGACATGTCCACCTCAATAAAATGAGGCGCTGTGTGAGGAAGTTACGACACTGGGACTTCTCTGCAGTCCCAGGACTGTTTTCAGGTCCAAGCCCAGAGGGTCCACAAACCGTTTGATCAATAGCGCTGTCTGGGGCTGAGAAACTCACCCTGCAGAGAATCAGCGCTTCCCCTCAGTAACCGCTCCTTCTGGTCTCTCAGGTAATTAATTACTTTATCAATCTCCTCAGCAGTTAGATAGCGATTGTCTGCCAGCAGGTTCAAGAGAGTCTGAATCCCTGGAGGGTGACCTCCCCTGACACCCTCCTCCATGAGGGGTGCGCGCTCCCGCTCCTGCAGAACAGCTTCATCTGCCATCTTGGCAGCCTGCCGGGCGATTTCCTCCCGCTCCTTCTCCCGTGACTCTGTTTTGTAGCGCTCGTAATTCCTTGCCACCAGCACCATGGCATCAGCTTGGGGCATGTTGCGGTGTTCTGCACAAGGAAAAGAAACATTTTAAGTAAACCAAAGTGACGTTAGCAGGAGGTGCCTTGCCTCACGCACACCAGTAGACCTCGTTCAGC